GCTGTTCTTGCAATTCTGAAGCAGATTCTGGTATTTTTTTAATTACATAGTTATGGATAAAAAGAAGAAATTAAAACTGCTATACGACCTGTATACGGTTAGCAAAATACAAGTAATGAAAGGAAAAAAGTAATACACGGAAAATTAGGAAGTCTTTGTGTAATGATTTTTAAAAGATGATTTCAATATTCTAACATTTTACAAATTATTTGCATTCTACAAAGTTATTGTTTTAAATGCAATAAAATAAATTATATGACAATAACAAACACTAATCTCTGTTAATTCGGTTTTAGATATGAAAAAAATGTAACATGGAATTATATGTTACATTGTGGAAACCGTTGAAAAAGAACCCACTATAATTTAATCTAAAATTCCATTTAAAAAAATATCGTTTGCAGCTGGCTAATATATTCACATCATAACATATTAGAGGCGAGTACTTTCTCACCATGTAATATATTTAATTTTACCTATACAGTGATAAAAAAAACTTGACCTTTGCATGAATAAAGTAGAGTAATTTGTTTTAATGGATTTTTCCAGATTTTATTAAATGTCAACAAAATGAATACTTACCCGATTTTTTCATCAGCAAAATTGTTTACAAATACTACGTCTTTACTAATCCCGTCATTTGAATATCTGGGTCATTGCCTTCGGCATTGAAGATGAACGATGCAAGTTTAAAACTCTTGCGCAATTCATATGAGTTAAATTAAAGATTGAAAATAAAATAAATTTGAGAAAATGAATAATCACTGGTATGAAAAAACATACATGTATAAATCATATGCGAATACCATTACAAAGGCAATGTTTGGTATTTTGTGATGTTATGTTTTTACAGCCCTGTAAAAAAATATCCACAGAACTTATTTGAAAAAAAAATTATTTCAAAGAAAAAATAAACTTGGCGTAACGGTAGAAAAGGACTATGGCACTGTTTATCTGCAATGCTATATTTCGTTTTATAGTTATTTATGAGCTTGGTTTATGTCCGGATTTGCTACCATGTGCATTGATTTAAGTTTTTTTTTTTTAATGATACAGCTGGATTTTCGGTCTATTATAATAGATCTCATTTGTATGAAATGAAACATATTTTTATAAATTTGAAGTACGTATATTAATGTAGTAAACCCTAACCCTAACCCTAACCCTGAGTAACAGGACTCTTACTGTTCATGAATAAAATGTACAAATTCTTCCCCCTGACTTGTTTCTGTGCGTATTTTTTCCATACCTTTTCAACTTCGGTGGTTAAAGCTCACTATTGCTTTTGACTTTTGACTCAAAAAATAAGTTTCACTGACATGTTAAAACTTTATTTTCCATGTATAAACTTTTGTGAATATGTTGAATAAAATGTACGGTTGGGTTGAAACTGCGCCGGTTTTATATTGGATTTTACAAGAAAAATATTGGGAAACCTAAACTTTACTTTTTTGAGCCTTGATTGATCAAACAAAATTGGTTTAAACCTCTGACGGATTAATTCCGACAAATTTTGTTACACAATCCCTATTTTTTCTTTAATTACCATTTTATCTTTTTCGCAGAATTAGATCTCTTTTTTACGCAATATTTCGCGCGAGATTCAGTAAAAACATGCTATGTTTGACAATTACTTAAACCATTTCAGATTTATAAGATCTCTAAAATAAAACACCATATGGTAGTCTGTAGTCTATGTAAACATTCCCCCACGGCTTTGATCATTCACCTAAAAAATGAATATTAAATTACGAGATACTTTTATTTAAAGCTTACTGGAGATATTCATCTTTCAACTTAGATTAAAAAAAAACACACAACGGAATAGGTTCAGTTCTAACAATTAAAAAAATATTGATTTTATTGTGCACAGAAACAGACATCTTTAAAAATAATTATTTTAACATTGACACTATTTTTGTATGCAATAAATATACGAAGGAGTATTAAAAAGTTCGTGGACTAGTGCCATGAAATTGAAACCGATTTAGGTACATCAATGAATTTAGAATAACTAGTTAGCATCATCTTTTCTATCCAAAGAATAACCACAAATCATAATTCAATTTTTTTTATTAATTGTATTTTGGTTGAAACGCGTTATTTGATTGGATAAAAAATAAGAAACCAGTTAAATAATCTGGGTTGCCTATGTCACGATGACTTACGTCAAAAACGTATCAATCAGCTTAACATTATGTTTAAAATATGAACGAATTGAAGGCTTTTAAAGGGAGAAATTATCTTGTTTTATATACTTAATGCAACGATTTATAATTAAAAACTTTAATCATCTATTTTACAAATTGATTACTAGTTGTAGATGCAAAGGGCTGCATTCAAGATAGTATCGATCATGAAATTATCAGAAAATACAACATGCAAACTTACCTGCTTTAATATTTGGATAACCACATGTACCTTCCCGCACAAATACATGTATTCTTGGACAATACTGTCCGACGGCAATCAATGACTTCCACATTCAACAATAACAAGCACGATTGCTCATAGATCCCAACTTTCAACACTTCAACTGTCTTTCTACAGAGCAAACCTTGCCATATCTAGTCATTCCTTTTTTTCCTTTATCTCAGGAAAGAGACCTGATCCTAAACCCGAAACTGTTATAGTTCGTGCATGCGCACAATACCAACGGCTATGTGCAGCGCTCTCGCGCATAGAAATGTGATATTTGAATGTACTCTTTCACTTTCTCCTTATAATTTACTTTAAAAAAATAATTGAATTGCACATAAATTAATGTGTCACATGAAAACCTGTATCTCTTTATAGAAAAAAGATAAATAAATGAATGGCACCTGATTACACCTCTGATGTTTTGGAGGTTCATGTTTGTTCAGCTCCTATGTTGTATTGTCTAATGAACTTTTGAGCTTAAATACTCTTAGTTACCTCAGTAAATTTCATATCAAAAAGTATACTGTCCTTCTGCACAACCTACAAAATGTACACATATTGGAAATTAATTGATTAAGCTTTTATTTTCGATCTTTTCCAACACTGAAATCTTTACACAATTTTATTTAGGTATACTTGAGGATTGATATACGACCCCCTCCCCAACCTTATTGAATTTACATATAGAAGGAGTAATATTCTAAAAAGACGCATGAAAAATACTGAATCAGCAATATGATTTTCAGACCTATCAACCAATATCTAGGGATTCAGATATGAAGGGTCCGATATGAAGATATGAAAATCCAAACCATGTTGTGTAACAAGACGAAACCGTCTTAATTAATTAACTTCTTCAGAATTTTAATTCAGCCAGGTAAACGTTTTTGGAGGATGGGAGAGCCTTTGCCTAGCTGTACGTATCTTCTGACTGGTCAGTCTATATATGTCCTGCAAAGTCGTACACCTCATTAGTTGGCGATAAATCAATGTTATTAGTGTTATCCTTAAGATTATTATATGTTTCTTCGATGTTTGAGTATGGATCATCCTTGTATTTACTATTTTTCCGGATTCTGTGAATTTGAAGCGGTGATTCGACGACACAAACGGCACTTTCGGAATGTGTGTACAATACATTTTGAAGAACTAAATGGCTCCCATTCTGCAGGATAGGCGTATTTCGATGTCCACTAATTATGATTAAGAAATCAAGAAAAAAAATGCAAAATCTAAATGAGACTTATGTAAAATGAATTATGTTTAACATTTAAAATTAATTTAAAGGTGAAAAGAAATACACATACTGCATTTTTCAAAATATTCATGAAAAATATATATTCTAAAAAAATTTATCTGCAAACAATTTTATATTTCTTCACTTACTTTTTTATCGAACGCTTCAAAATTTCTTGAAAATGATTGAGCACAAACTGAAGAGGTTATTCCAAGAAAATATCCAATTACTCCAGCGATGATAGAGATAACAACTATTTAATCATTGATTGTTGTTTATTGTGTACCATAATTCAACACTCTTTACAACTTACTGAAGTGTTACGCAACATATACTTAATGTTTACGTCATAGACATAGAAATTTACCGTTTCCCCGCAAGCACTTTCTCGTTTCTCTAAAGTCTAGCGAATTACTATTTGTAAATAATATAATGATATTATAGTTTAATAAAAGAATACCGTTTCTTATTTTATGAGATTTTAGCAGGTTTAAAAAGAAGGAAATTGGCATTTAATTGAAGATTAAATGTAGTTATTAAAGTGTGTGAAAAATGTGTTATTGCGGAGAAACGGTATATGCGTAATTTTGCGTTAGAAAAAGAAAATGGCATATGCGTTAAAATTCATGTTTACGGGGAAGGGGGTTCAAGAGAATTGGAGAACGATGTGTTTGAGATTGTTTTTCTTAGCTAGTAATTCATTATTTCTTTCAAGTTATTTGATTACTTTGTAAAGTATATTTGCACTAGATGATATACCAGACAGATTCAAGTAGTCCATGAATGTGTTTATTAGCGGCAACGTAAACCCAGAACTTTAGATAATGTGATATTTTAGGTGGTAGCTGTATGCATACGTTTGACGAAGTAGGATAATGAGATATAATTAATGTTGGGGGAAATCCTGCATATCAAGACGTTGACGATTACCGTGGACTTTGTTGCAACGGTAGGTACTGTAACTATTACCATCTAGTGTGTGTTTGGACAGTTCGAACAGAACAGTAACTTTTTGAGTCACATTTACATGTATACAAAGATTATCGGATATTTGTAGATGGCTAGGAGAAATTGTAGGGTCCGATATAAAGATATGAAACTTTTTTTTCTTCTTTTAATGATTATTTTATTGCTTTTATTTATATGCGTGTTTATGCCTGCTGTGTGTGTCCATGTGTGCAAATAATTTTTTTTCTGTTTTTGAGTACCTGATAAACTTGTTTCCACGCACTCTTCTGTCTTTTTCAAAGCTTGGTTACAGCGAGGGAATATTTTTATGCCATTATAACAAATTATTCCAAAATCTAATAAAAACTGTAATGGTATGCTAATTTAATTTTACAATGAAGGTTAATTGAAATCAATTCTTTTTAGGAACTGATTTATCAGAGCTGCACTTCTTTATATATGGCTTCAATGTGTAAAAAAAATAACAGGTTCAACATTGACATCCGTTTTTGGAGGATGGGAGAGCCTTTGCCAAGCTGTACGTATCTTCTGACTGGTCAGTCTCTATATGTCCTGCAAAGTCGTACACCTCATTAGTTGGCATTAAATCGGTGTTATCATTTAGATGATTATATGTCTCTTCGATGCTTGAGTACGGATCATTATTGTAGTCACTTTTTTTCCGGATTCCTTGAATTTGAATCAGTGATTCGCCGACGCAAACGGCACTTTCCGAATGCTTGTACAATACATTTTGGAGTGCTAAATTGCTTCCATTCTGCTGGATAGGCGTATTTCGATATCTGCTAATTATGATTAAAATTATTTATTACGTACCTTTTTTGTGAGAAAAACAACTGTAAATTTTCATGAGACTTACACAAAATGCAATATGTTTTAAAGGTGAAAAGAAATGCAGCATTTTTCGAAATATTCCTTGTTAGATGTAAATTCACAAATCTTTAACTACCAACATAATAATAATATAATAATAAATAATCACAATTTTATATTCACTTACGTTTTTATCGAACGCTTCCAAATTTTCTTGAAAACAACTGAAGCACAAATTGAAGAGGCTAAGCCAAGAAAATATCCAATAATTCCAGCGATGATTGAGATATCTTCCACTTTATTATAATTCATTATTGCTTTATTAGTAGTAGTATTAGTATTAGTATTATTACTATTAATGGAAAAGATTCATTATCAAAGATTCCATAAAAATGATAAAATATATATGAATACAAAACTTTACCTTTTTGTGTCCTTGCGTTTTCTTTATTCGTGTCTTAAAATAATATATAATATAAAGTTTAATGAAATCTGTATCCTATTCAAAGTAAGTTAATGAAAGAGTCTCTCGAATTTGTCACATTTACTTTATTTAATTCTATTTTGTTGGTTATTGTTTACCAAAGTCTCATCTTCATTATATAATCGTTACAAAATGTAGTCCCGACTTGCACAATTTGTTGACGTTTAAGTGTGTAGCAGGCTGTAAAAGTGAGAAGGTGTGTTTGTCTTCAGTAAAAATGTTGTTTGACCTGGGTGGTAGCGAGAAAAATATATTTTCATACATTAGGTCTGTATGTTTGGTGTTTGAGATGTTTTCTTTTGTGGACATTATCGAGAAATTTTGAGAACATTGACAGCGATGATTTAGAAGTGTTTATTTTCTGAGCTATTTTTTTAATATTAAAAAAAGCTATTATTCGATATCTGTGTAAAGTATATCAATTTTGAAATTGATGATATATTAGACATACTAAAGTATAGTCCACATAAATGTGTTTTAATTACCGAATAGGGAAACCAAGAACTTAAGATAATGTGATATTTAAGGTGACCAGCTTTATATATGCATGTATACGTTCGATGTAAAATGATACTGAAACATAAGTGCAGAGTTGGGAGAAATCCTACTTACATGTAACAGATGTATACAAGACGTTGACGATTGCCTTGTCTCGCAACGATAGTAACAGGAACTCTTACCAACGGCTGTGTGTAGGGATAGTTCGAACAGAGAGGTTTAATTTTTGGTCACACTTATACAAAGATATTTGTACATGGCAAGAAACATTGTCGGATCGGGTAAGAAGATGTATTGAAACCTTTTTTTCCGTTTGTGATTACTTTCAATTGTTTTTTTATATGTACAGAGTGTTGCGGGTGTGCGTGTTGTGTATGTTCACATGTGTAGATAATTTTGTTTTTTGTGCAGTTGATGTACTCGTTTACACTTACAATTTAGTTTTTGTTCTTTTTCAAAGCTTGTTTACAGCGAGGGAATATTTTCATGTCATTATCACAAATTGTGACAAAATTAAATCAAAATTGTGCTAGTATGCTATCAATACTTTACAATGAACTATAAGGAAAGAAGTTCATAATGTTAATTTAAATCAATCTAACAAAAATGCCCTTGCGTGCCAAAATTCCAATGAATGGTTTTTCGGACCTTCGACACATGTCCGTCCCCTTATTTGATATTCCTTCATACAGAGACGATGACCATCAACACATCGTGCAGCAGGATCTGCATGAGTGCACTGCGAAGAGCGGAAACATACCTGACCGACAGATAAATTGCCTAAATTAAAAAAAAATGGCAGAACTACTTTTAATAAACGTCAATGATTTTCTGAAAAATTTGAAAAAAAAGGATTTGTACGAATCGTGCATTCATACCTGGAAGACAGTCTCCACGAAAATTTGAAAAACCATCATCACAATCGCATTGTTTACTAGTCGTAAAATTTGCACCTCCTGTATATTTGCAGTTTCCAGCATTTTTTGTACCACTGCACTGCTCATCAAAATCGCAGCTCTCTCCAAGAAGCAGTGTGCCTGTGAGATACAATGTAACTAATATTACATGTTTGAAATAAACAAAGTTATAACATTAGTATTTTGAACCTTGGAATTGTTTCCTTATTCTTCAGCATTTGTCTTTTTCACCCATAATTGTACAGTGTGCTTTCAACCTACATCCACCTGCTGTAGGATACGCAAACCCCCAATAGTTATTATCAGAAAATCTTAACATGAGACATTTCATAACGTAAAATATGATTCAAAGAAAAAGAAACACAGTAAGGATAATGTTTCAATACGAATCTTTCCCTGTATTTTTTCTACAGTATGATATATATATATATATATATATATATATATATATATATATATATATATATATATATATATATATATATATATATATATATATATATATATATATATATATATATATCCAATGAAAAAAAGTCAGAAATCACAAATCTCGAAAATCATTTTTACTGTTAGCGCTTTCTGCCTAATGGCTCTTCAGACAGTTAAAAGTTAAATATAAAATTGCTTAGTAACGTTCATAAGCACGACGTCAAGTATTGTCCATTGTGACGTCATAATAACGTTAAAAGGTAGCATTATAATTCGCACCGTTACAATCACTTAAATAAACCAAAAAACAAGTAGAAAATAACTTATATATCTACTCAACTCATGTTAAAGCTAATTTCATATCTTTTTAAAGAAATTTTAGGCCGAAACAATTCCTTCTTAGACCTTTTTCCCTTACCAGGTAAGCACCTTTGTTTCTTTAGGAGGAATCCATTTTGACAGACACAATACCCATCAACACATCGATTTGCATGTTTTGTACTGGAACACTGCGAAGAAAGGTAGCATTCATTTCCTACTGATAAATTACCTGGAATAAAACATATAAATATAATATAAAATTTTAACATAAGACTTTTTATTCCCTGTAAAGTATTAACTAAAGAAAATAAATTTAACTTTTCTCTTACCGGGTAAGCACCTTTGTTCCTCTAGGAGAAATCCTTCTTGACAGTGACAATACCCATCAACACATCGATTTGCATGTTTCGTACTGGAACACTGCGAAGAAAGGTAGCATTCTTTTCCTACTGATAAATTACCTGAAATATAGCATTAATACATAAGGTATTTCTTTTTCTACCAAAATTAAAATCTTTGGTATTTTGGTATAAATACATAAAACATTTGGAGATAACAAGCAGTATTTAAGACAATAACTTCATAAAACAAAACAAAATAGGAGCACAGCAATCACGGACCTCCGAAATATCGGAGATGGTATCAGATGCCATAAAGGAGTGAGCATCCCATGTCGACTCGTTACACCCGCCGTGCACTTCTTGACACGATTGGGAAATAACGGAAAAGTCCGTCGAAAATTCAGCATTAGTGTACAAATAATTGACAAAGAATTGGTATAAAAAGTCGTCATTTTTACTCATTGATAAAATGTATTTGCTGACAAGGTCATTGAATCAACCATAGAGCATACGACATGATGACTTTAAACAAAACTACTGATATTCTTGTTTCATCAATATTTGTAGTTAATGTGACATAGATTTATTTTGAAAATTAGAAGATTAAAAAAATTGCTGTATTTATATACATATACATGTATATACCATGAAGACAGACTCCTAGAACCGGTAGGAAATTATCATCGCATTGGCATGATTTCTCCTGTATAAAAGTTCTAGATAATGCTGTGTTTTTACAGTTTCCTGCATTTTCCGTTCCAGAACACTGTTCACTAAAAGAGCAACTTTCGCCAAAACGCTTTTTACCTACAACGTTTAAAATAAAAATAAAAAGGGTATTGTATTATAATATGATATTACTCCACTCAACACCAAGTATTATTCATTTCCTGTTTATGAAAGCATTTTATGTGCAATTTATTCACCACTCTGCAGATGTTATTAGCATCCGTTACTCTTCCTGTATACATTTTTATGTATATAGAAACAGGTAGATCTACTCTTCGTATATACACTTTTATGTATATAGAAACATGTAAATCACTTTTTGAAGGATATTAGGAGTAATATGAGACATATTTAGATAACAAACAATATTCAAGATCAAAAGTCCATTAAACAACACTTAGTAGGAGCAGAGCAAACACGGACCTCCAAAACATCGAAGGTGGGGCCATGCACCATGGAGGAGTAAGCATCCCCCGTCGACCGGACACACTCATGATTATAATGATGCATAGATACATGTAAAAACGTTATCAAATAGAATAAAAGGTCCATTGATTTTTATGTATACCAACCCTTTAAGCATGTTCCATTCACAGGTTCATAGTTTTTAGAACAGTGGCACACTTTATTATCTCCATCAAATGTACAAAGTCCTGCTCCACTTGTGGCGGTACATTGCTCACTTACTGTGCACGTCATATTTAGGCCTTTATTTGCTAACAATACATATATGCTCTATTGAGTAATATTTAAAAAAAATATGATAAAGTAGGTATTTGGAATGAAATTGTAAAAATACAGACTTTTCCTGCACTTTCCATCGATAAGTAAATAATCTTTAGAACACTGACAGGTTTTCATATTCATCATTCCATTTAATCTACATTGACCTGCTCCTTCAGTGGCATTACATTGTGCATCAATTGTACACGATTCATGCAGCCTTGTGCCACCTAAAATAAAAAAAAATCTACAATAATTATTCAATAACTAGAGATACAATGTACATGTACTGCGAATACTGAATTCACAAAAGAACATCCCCGTATCCAATATGATTATAATGGTAAGGTCCATGTTTTGCTCTGAGAGACCTGAAATATGTCAGATCAAAAAATTAGGAGGTGTAAAATTGCATGATGTAATAAAATTTCTGTGAAGGTATCTTGACATTTTATTTAATGGTAAAGGAGGAATTGCAGATAAGAAATGGGTATTCTTATATTTTAAAGAAAGAATGGCACTGTCCATGTTTTGCAATGGGAAACCCAATGTGCATGTTAATGTCGAATAAAAAGTAAAATTAGGAGAGCACAATGGCACCATATGACAAAGATTATGTGAAAGTCAAATAAAATTTCAGTCAGTTGTATAAGTAGAGTTGTGGATAAGAGGTGGGTGCTCCAAGGCGTTATAGAAGTACTGACAGACGGAGATACATACCGATCATTATATACCCTCCCAATTTTCAATTTTCAATTTAATTCAAATAAATCGAAAAAAGTATCTAATACGGTTGCCAATGTAAATGCAATAATGAATATGATAAAACATCGCATAGCTTTAAATCGGTCATATGTTAAACATTTAATATCTTAGAATATCAACTTTGAAGCGACATGATATACAATATAATTTCATTTGAAAGTATGAAGCATAAAAGGAAAAATTGCAGGACTTTTCCCAGCAAAAACTTCTTTAGAATATAACTTACATCGTAAAAGTAATAGGAAAAGTAAATTTGTATGAATTAGATAACCTGAAGGCACAGTTCGGTCAGAACAGTTTAGTTTGTCATTACATAGTTTTGCACAGTGGACACTTGGTTGAATTTAAAGAATGTATTTACTTTGTGAGAAGCTACTGACATGTTCACTGTATCTATGTTTATAAAATGCTTTATCTATTAATATTGAAAAATGTCAATTAGAAACATTCTTTAGATATAAAACATATAATCTATACGAGGTAATACCATCTAAACATGTTTCTTTGTATCTTATTTGTCCTTCTTTGCAGTCACAAACATGACCTTTGATCAGCATACTATGATCTTTACAAACATAACGGCCTTGTCCGTCATCGGTAAGTATTTGACACACTGCTCTGTCATCGAGGCATGCAACCTCTTTAGTACAGGCATTAAAAGATTCACCTTTAAATAAAATAGTAGAATGATTATGATTCGAATGATATGTATTAACAATGCACTATACGTAATTCTAGGACTATGCAATTTACATTTTTTTTTTTTTTTGAAATGCTCGAATTCCTTTATTGATATCAGACATTAAGTGGTTATATTCCAGATAGCACAATTTTCTATATTGAAATAAATATTTCTTTTAAAGCGAAGATATCCAACCTGGACGAATTGGTGAACCACAAACAATATCCAATCTCATTTCGTTGATTTCTTTTTCAGAACAATGTTGCGATTCAAGATTGAATGTATATTTTTCGCTTTTGACATGTAATGTCACGGAAATGTTGGTAACTCTAAAGTAAAAGCTCTGATAAATATGCAAATCCGTTGAGAGTAACATGCATTTATCGCTGCACCTTGCTGAATTCCCTAAAGCAAACAAAAAAGAAAATAAAAACAAGCATGATTACTTATGATGTTATGAAAGGCAAGTATGCTTCATCAAATTTGGTATCAGAAAAGTACATTTGTACATTTACCTTGCATTTTTTTTACCGATATTCGTGATGTCAAATTCACAACTTGCATTGCTCTGCACAAAATTCAAGATGTCATGATAGCAATATAAACTACAATATGAAAAAAAGAGATTAATAATGTGTGAGTGTGTGAATAAAAAATACTTTTTTAACCTTAATCTTCGTTTTAATATCCCTTGAAAATGTTTTGTCGTGCAATATAGTATAACATACCCTTTATATTCATGAATCCTTGCAGAAATCGTTGAAGTGAAAATAAAATCTAAAAGATAGACTATAGTTAGCATGGATTTTACCACGTTTATTTTATAAAATTTGTTATAATATATAATGTAAACGTTAAAATCACGAATATTTCTTTAACTGACATTCCGTCAACGAAGTTTAACTGTGCTGTTAAAAGAAATACTCGTACATACTAGAAAAAGTGTGACCGTCTATGATTGATGCTAAATGGAATAGTAAATTTCAAATAAAATTAATTTTTTTTCAAAGTTAATTTACATGCTTTGTTGTCTTGATGGATAGATTAATTGTATTATAATATTTGTCCAATTTGCCAAATTTCAGTTTAATAAAAAAATATTGTCATTTCAATAAAACCTTTCTCCTATAGACTATATGCGGAAGTTTGTATATAAGATATAAAATTCTATATAATATCAATGCCTGAATTTCTACAGAGAGTGACAAATCATCCGTTGGTCTTATTGCAGAACTGATATTAGTATGAGGAGAGAAAATTGCACTACATTTTTGACATTGAACATTATCATATAACAATTGATTAAACGAGTGATCATTGACGACTTCATGCACTTTAAATGTTATTTCATTACACAAAATATAGTTATATACATGTAGAACGAGTTTTCAGTTTTAAAGTATAATGATTTACCTACATATTACTAAATCTAGAAAAGTATTTTAAATTTAAGGTTTGTTATAAAGTTCTATTTCTAAGAATATTCTTGACAGCAATTATCGTTCTGTACGTCGGAGAACAAAAATATGATTCTCATTCTAATAAATTGAAAGTAGAAAAGATTGTTTTCGGATGAATATACATGTATTTGTACTTACAGAGAAAGAAACTGAACTTAAAAGTCATATTTGAGCCCAGCTTTCTCCTGGTTTCTAAAAAAAAAAATAAGGATTAAAATCTGAACAGCAGAGCATCACCGATAAGTGTAGTGCTAAATATAAATTTCCGCTATCATGTTGCATTTCCTTCGTTTTGAGTTTGATAGCCAAACTAAATATTTCAAGTTTCCGTTTAGGGCATAAGTATTATCATCCCTTTAAATAGTAAAAAAAAGAAATTTTTGCTGTGCACACTGTGACATTTGATAGAAAAACATACATGCATGTACGCACACTACGGAAGCCCATTCGGGACCTATCGAAAAATATTTTTGAATCCGATATAACGAATTGTCGAAATTGTTATAACGAATTTAATTCGTTATAACAATTTTTTTGAATTCGTTATAATTAATTTAACCTGTTATAATATTTTTTTGATTTGTTATAACGAATTCAAAAACTTGTTAATACGAATTAAACTCGTTTTAACAGATAGTAAAACTTGTTATAACGAATTGAATTAGTTTAAACGAATTCCATAATTTGTTATAACGAATTATATTCGTTATATGTAAAACGAATTCGACAAATCTTTATACCGAATTCATATATATTGTTCTATAAATCCTGAATATTGAATTTGATGAAACGAATTTAATTCGTTATAAGAAACATTGGAATTTGTTTAAACGAATTTAATTTGTTATACATGTAACAAACTTCAGAATTTATTTAAACAAATTTAATTCATTATCACAAATTAAAGAATTCGTTATAATGAATTCAAAAAATTTGTTATAACAGATCAAAATCATTATAACAAATTCAAATTGTTATAATGAATTAAATTCGTTATAACAAATCCAACAATTTGTTTTATCAAATTTCAAAAATATTTTTATAGGTCCTAAATGGGCTTCTTTACGCACACAGAATTGAAGCATACCAAATCATTTGATTATAAAGAGTGTAGAACAGCCAAAAAAATCATTCAGAAAAGAGTATAGAGCACAGATGGTTCAATGAAACATAATTTTATGGCTAAAATAAGGTGTATTATAAAGAAAGGGGAAATTGAGGGTCTGGAGAACTTTAGTTTTCAAAACGTTGGCGCTAGTTTGTGATATAAATTTTAATAGTACTCGCCTACTAACGCCAGACACAAGGCAGCTGCAAGGAATTGACATGCATGTAACATATGTAACATTTGACCTTTCACTTGGCTACAATTAGGTTCAGGTGTTATTACCAAAAAATAAACACCTAAATTACAAAGAGACATCCCAGAGAAAAAAAATGAGAAATATAAATGAAAGGGCTTTGACACATTTCAAGATTTGAAACATATAACATATAGAAATAAAGAACAGTATTCAAGATCATAAGTCCATAAAACAATAGAAATTCGGAACAGAGCAAACCCAGACCTCTAAAACAACAGAGATAGGATCGGGTGCCATGTAGGCGTGGGCATCCCATGCCAACCGTTCAAACTCGATGTGTGCTCCTTGTCATGATCAGGAAATAACAAAAAAACCATCGTCAATCCAGTGTGTAAATAATGGACTAACAAATAGTATAAAATAACGTCACTCAGCATTTGAATCAATGATAAATTGTATTTGCTGACAATGTCATTGTATCGACTATAGAATTTACGAAATGGTGACTTTAAATGAGACGGCTTATATTCTTGTTTCATCAACTTTGTCAATAATTTACCTTGATTTAGAAATTGTTAATACGTAGAGCATGCTCTTGCGTATCTAATCAACTGAGACAAGTAATTTATCTAAACATAAAACAGATGTATCAGAGTCTGTAATGTCTTATCTCAAGCTCACCAGGATATATCGTATCGACATAAGAATTGAAATTACCATTGTTAAATGACAATACGTCGTCGATACATCTAAATGTCGAGTTGACGGCCACAACAAGTTTTTCTTCTTTTCACACATGGTTTTGCTCAAATTCTGCTTCATAGGAATACAAAAACGGTTTGCCAATAACGGAGCGCAATTGATACCCATGGGAATTTTAATAGATTGTTGGAAGACCTTGACTCTAAAAAAAATAAATAAATATTGTCAATCAAAAACTTAAGCATTTTTTTGACGTCGACTATAGAGTACTTGTGTGTACAATCAGGATGTTCTTTACAAAATAATTTTACAAATGACCAGTGACAAGGGAAGTAAATTTTCGAGTTCTATTTTCATTGAAAAAGCAGCTTTTAATGATGTCGAAAGGCTTAAGCTTTAATTTATTGTGGGGAAAGGTTGTGTATAAATTGAAAATTCGTAAATTTTTAAGTTGCTCATTTTGGTACAATCTTGTGATTTCAAATTGCCCAAAGGTTCCTTTGAATTTATAAAAATTCACATCTGATTTTCACAACTTCTTGAATATATTGAAGCACAGTACTCTTGAAGTTTCTAATTCACTACGGTAAATATCGTTGTGTATCTTTTATTTGTAAGGATTCTTGTTTTGAAATCCAATATATATAGGGTAGTTCAAATTCATTTTGGTTCTTCGGGATACTAAAAATATTCAAAACTGACATATGATTTTGAAGAATTTCTTCCATATAAAGGAAACTATGAGTATAAGTTGAATTACCACTTGTAGAATTAAAAACAAGTTCTTCTACAATGCAATTTATATAATGAGCTTTACAAACGAAGACACTGTTGTTACCTGCTTTGTCAGCAGGGACCAGTACATACTGATCATGTAATTTATCTAATTCTTTTTCACTTCCGGGTTATTTAATACAAAAGGATAAATGGTTTTTATATTGCCCGTAAGTCTCTTAATAAGCGATTTTAACATGGATATGATACATTAAATTCATTCTGACAAAGTGTCAACGTCTTCTTTTTCATATTTGACCCATCTTCTGGCGTAATCTTCAGCAGAATCCATGATATTTATAAAATTCCGACGCTAGTTGATGTAACGCATTCTTTTTCATTTTATCTTATAGCTTTCAAGCCTAGATATCGAAAATTTTCAAAAAGGGAGTTAACGTTAATTATTTTCAAAAGGTCATTCTTGTGATGTAAAATGAATTTTAAGATGGAAAGGGGAAAATGTTGGTTCCGTATTTTAAAATTGACTATATATTCTTAACCACTTGAATCAATGCAGTAATATGTTTTATCATTGCGTGGACCCTGAGGTCCACGCAGTAAATATATAAGCGAGGCTAAACCGGATGCCATGGGCAAACGACAGGCTACGCATGCGCGAGAATGCTAGAGAGTTCGCCCATTAGGCAACTTGCCCGTAGAATAATTCGCCCTACTCGAGATTAGAATATGCCATTCATTAGCAAATCGCTCTTTTAAATCCGCATTTCGTATTTATATATTCATTGGAAGATCCGAATTTCTCTTCTATACATATATACGTTTACATAAAAACTAAACATTGATTCTATGGCACAAGCATTTTAAAAAGTAGGAAGACTTTGCAATATATAGATACAAGTAACTTAACAACTTGAATAAAAAATGTCATTCAACGAATACATGTAGTTCTAGCTTTTAAAAGATATAGAAGTTTTCACCGGCATTAATAATTAGTTTTGTGCATCAAGGCTTGCAAAATAATTTGATATTTCAGCAATCCAAATACCGTTTGATAGAGGTCTGTAGTAACGGCATTTAATGTGAGGAGGGGGGGGGGGCTCCGAAAAAAAATCTGCGTATTAAAGAGATGTTCTTCACATGTACCATTAGATCTATTTTTTCCATGATAGATTTCTTCCGTATAAATCCAGAACAGGTGTC